TCACAATGGCGACATTACTGGGCCCGCTTGAGAAAATTGATGAACAACGGGAGGACAGTGACAGTGACAATTATTTGTCTTATGTTTACTTGTTTTGGGGTCACACCAGGTGGCGCTCAGAGTTTACTCCAGGTTTTGAACTCAGGGATCATTCCTGATGGAGGCTGGAGGATCATATGTCGTGCTTGCTATGCATCTAACCTGTTGTATGTATTATTTTGTGTGTGTGTGTGTGTGTGTGTATCTGAATGTGACTGTGAGTTTATTGGACAATGGGAGAGTATGTGTGTCTTGGTTTATTTCAGTGTTGAGGAGATACAACAGGGCCTTTGGCTTTCTCTCTGATGACCAGAGCTCAGAACTTCCTTTTATATTTGATGGGCTCAGACATCTTCTTTACACCCTCCTGTTTTTATTGTAACACTGTCACTGTCACTGTTCTCCCATTATTCATCGATTTGCTCGAGCGGGCCCAGTAACATTGTGAGACTTGTTACTGTGTTTGGCATATCGAATACGTCATGGGTAGCTTGTCAGGCTTTGCCGTGGGGACGAGATACTCTCGGTAGCTTGCCAGGCCCTTCGAGAGGGGCGGAGGAATCGAACTTGGGTCGGTCACGTTGGCTGCGTGCATGGCAAACACCCTACCTGCTGTGCTATCACTCCAGCCCATTGTAACACTATGATTTACAATGATTATTTCATGTATACTTCATTCTAACATCACGCCCATCACCAGAGTGCCTATTTCACTCCACAGTGTCTCAAGAACCCTCTCATCCTGAATCCTCACCAAGTAAGCTCAGTTCTATTGAATATTTCCAGTTCTGATGTCTTTGGTATTTCTTACTTAATTATTGTGGGTTTTTTTATATCCCGAATATGAGAGAGATAGATTATTCTGTATCTGTCCTTCTGGTTCTTCTTCCTTCTGACTGACTTCACTCAACATGATATCCTCTAGTTCCATCCAGTATTCCATTGTGTCTATATACCACAGTTTCTTTAAGCACTTAGGTCATTTCCAAATCTTCACTATTGTGGCTACAGTGAACATAGGAGTACAGATGTTTTTTTAAATACCATCTTTGGGCTCTTGGGGTAGATGCTCAGAAGCGAAGTTGCTGAGTAATATGGAAGCTCAGTTCTTAGATTTTTGAGAATAGTTTTGTCATAACCCTTCATGAAGGGTTATGACAATGTTTTCCTCAATATAATTTCTGAATTGAGGTCTGTTATTGAGGTCTTTAATTCATTGTAAGCTGTTGTTACATAGTGATCTGAGTTGTTGTTGTTGTTGCTGTTATTGTTCTTCTTCTTCTCTGTCTCCCTTCTTCCTTCATTCTCCTCCTCTTCCTCCTCCTCTTTCTCTTCCTCTCCTCCACATCCTCCTCCTCTTCTTCCTTCTGCTGCTGCTGCTGCATGTGGCTGACCAGTTTTCCCAACACCATTTGTAGAAGATGATTTTCTTACTCCACTTCATGTTCTTTGTCAAAAAGATTAGCTGTCCATATACCTGAGGTCTGATTCTGGGCTCTCAGTTCATTTCCATTGGTCTTAGAGTTTGGTATTTATTCCCAATACCACACTACCTTGATTAGTATAATTTTATAGTATAACAGTGTTGGGGAAAAGAAGTTTTCATATGTTTTTTCATAGAATTATTTTTGACTATTTGGGTTTTTTTTAATACCATATAAATTTTTGTTTGTTTTGCTTTTTAGGCCACAGCAGCAATGCTTAGGGTTTACGCCTGCCTCTGCACTCAGGGATTATTCCTGTAGGGAATTGGGGGATTATAAAGGGTGCTAGGGACCAAACCTGGGTTGGCTGTATGCATGACAAGTACTCTGCGTGCTATACTACCTCCTTAGCCCAAGCATGGGTATTTTTTATGGGGACTGCATTGAATTTGTTTAGTACTTTGGGAAGGATGGCCATTTTGATAATATTGATCCTTTTGATTTATGAATTGGAGACGTATTTTCATTTCCTTGTGTCAAACCTCTTCCTTTGATATTGTTAACTAGATTCCCTTGTTTTGGTCTGCCAAGGAACCCACTGTGGGACACTGTCATCTGTCTGTCCTCCTTACAGTGATGAAGCTCACATTACTTTGCACTTGTTTTTAACAGTTTTTCTTAGTTCTTGGGTTTTTGGAAAGTCCTTATGCTAGAGCTGTTTTGCTTGGAATTGGGAGCATAAAAAGGAAGTCTTCTTAGATTGTATTTGACTGCAGATAGCAGAAAACCAGCCTAGCCTTGGTTTCAAGGGGAAAGCTCTTATTTCTTTTTTTTTTTCTGGAACAGGATGTGAGAGGTAGTGGGGGGAGGGAGGGAGTCCCACAAGGGGAGGGCCCTTATAGTGCCCTCAGAGGCCATACCCTTTTTATCTCTCTGCACTGTCTTCTCCTCATCTTCAGTCTCTTCTGTGAGATTCTGTTACTTTTACAGGCTGGCGTGAGAACCAAAGGGTTCATGAGAACCAGGTGATAGTGTTAAGCTGGAAGAATGTTGCACCTCAGAGGTGTGTCCTAGAGTTGATCTGAATAGTCTCAGAGACCCCTATCCTTTGGGAAAGTGACCTCTTCTCTTCCTGGACAGTCAGGTGTGGGTGGGAACAAAATTAGCTTTTCACTCTGTTTAACCCAGCAAAAGGACCAACTGATCAGGGTCTTTTCAGAATCTTGGAAAACCAGGCATTAAAGCCCATTTCCTTTAGTCAAAGAATGTACCCATATACCATATGGAGTGTCTGTTCCATAGAGGTGGCACACTGCCTGGTTTCACATGCTAACAGTAACTAACCTTGGTGGGGGCCCAACCCCTTCCTAGGAGTATATGCTAGGCCAGGCAGTGGACCAATTGTGAAGGATGAATCGGCCATTTCCCCAGATTTTGCTCTGCTCCAGCTTCTTCCTCAATAGAGCTGACCTTGGCCAATAGTGGTGCCCGTGGATAACTTGACTCACCCTTCAATGACCTAGCAACTTTTAGTGACCTCATTCCAGCCAATTCTGAGATGCAGAAACTTCTGGTACACAGCTGTGTTCTGTTAGCACTGACGGGAAGGCATCCTGGCATGAATCGTAGCATTACCAGTTGGCTCTGCACAGCAGCCAAGGGAGGTCAGCTGGCATGATCCTGGTAGGTCCTCATCTGCCTTTTGCCTGTGCCCACATCAGTGGCTTGGGAAAGCAGGGTCCTGTGCTTTTAACATGCTCAACTTAAAAATAGTCCAATGCTTGATTGCCCTTCCTGTCACAGAGAAAGTTCTGGTCTTCTTCAGCTTCCCTCCTCATCATTGTTACCTGCAATTTAACCCTTGGGGACTTAAGCCTGTGTCTTTATTTACGACTGAAAAGGAAAAAAATAAAAGAAAAGAAGAAAATGCCCATAAATATTGATCTGGATATAGGGTGCAGTAAAAAAGACTAGTTCTTAACAGAAGGATTCACTCCTATATAAAGATGCAAGACACCTCACTCAGATCCTCCCATGTGGGAAACCCAGAGTTGTCGAGGCATACTGCTTGCCCTCCAGGATTTGTGGCCTGTGTTCCCTTCAAACATGGTAAGGAGAGCTCATGGCCAGGACCCTTGCTCCCAAGCTTCCCCAAACTCTCACATGTACAGACATAATTTTGTCAAATAGTTCCTCGCATTATTCCTCTCTTTTCTACTTTCTCCCTCCCTGCTGCCCCCCCCCCCTTAGTCTTTGTAATTGATACCATGAGTCACTCCAGAACCTGTGGATGACTGGAAGAGACCATATTTTCATCTACAGACTCATCCCCTCATGCTTAGCAGTGCTGGCTGGGAAGTTTTCATTCTGCTCTTTTAGAATTTCTGCTTTCACTTAAGTTCTTGGATATCTTTTCTCCCTCTCCCTGTATGAAGTCAAAACACATAGCAGTGGCTTGTGGTGCCAGTTGTAATGACTATAGGACACCTCCTTGTAGACAACTTTCTATTCTTTCCAGGTTTTTCTGGGTTGGGCAAAGGGGTGGGGGACAGGAAGAGGCAGAACATTTACCTCCTCCTTCCCGTCAGCCCTTCCTTACCCGCATTCAGAATAGCACTGCACTGCACAGTCCTCCTGTTGTTTGCCGTGCTGGCGGAATACTCTTGGTAGCTTGCTGGGATCTCTCTGAGAGGGGCAGAGGAATTAAACCCAGGTCAGCTGCGTGCAAGGCTAACGCCCTACCCGCTATGCTATCACTCCAGCCCACACTCACACACTCAGAATATACTGCCTAAATTCAGGGAGGTCAGCTTCAGTAGAGGGTGCAGATATGCTGTATCTGCTGATTCCTGCTCAAGCATCATAGTGTTTGGTGGGGACCTAGCCAGCTGGGGCTGCTTACACATACACACACACACATACACACACACACACACACGAGATTGGGAGAGGTTGGAACAGACATTTCTCACTGCTATCAAGGCTGAGAAATACAAGGTTAGGATGCCAGCAGATACATTATTTTTGGCGAGAGTTCTCTTCCTGGTTGGTAGGCTGCTGCCTTCTTGCTATATGTTCACATTGCCAATCCTTTCCCCCAACCACTTCCCCCCGCACACATACATGTTTGCACGTAGAAAAACACAGGGATCTTTCTCTTCGTATTATTATCTCATAAGGAGGGCAGAGGAGTGAGGACCCTATCCAGTGAAGTGGCTTCTACACATTCTCCCACCTCGTCTTGGGATGCCTGAAAATGTAAATGAATGTGAGCTTCCTCTCAGGGCTTTGAAAGGCGCCCATAGCTTCATTTTCCTGAACAAAACAGTAGTTTCAAGTTGACTGTTTTGATTTTTATTCCCCATTCCATGTTTTGAGCTCCGAAATGTGTATAGGCTGGGCTGGGCCAGTACCCCATTCCCACTGTTCACTTAGGATAGGTTCCCTAGGGCACCCTTGGGTGGAGAAGGATCCTGAGGGAGGGTGTGCACTGGCGCCTCCCTGCCTTCTGAATCTTCTGTTGTTTTTTCTCTACAGCTTGTGATTGCCATCCTGTTGGTGCTGCTGGCAAAACCTGCAACCAGACTACAGGCCAATGTCCCTGCAAGGACGGTGTGACGGGCATCACCTGCAACCGCTGTGCCAAGGGCTACCAGCAAAGCCGCTCTCCCATTGCACCCTGCATAAGTAGGTGTGAGCCACCCTCTTCCTTCTGCCCAGGCATGGGTGCATTAGAATGGGGGGGGGGGGGAATCTTTTCTGAATAGATCACTGCATTGGTGAGTTTTATGCTCCTGCATGCAGATCTCTACCACCAGTGCCCTGTGATCAATGAGGTCTTCTGCCAAATAGTTAGGGAGCTTAGCAGAGCCAGCTTGCTACTCTCTAAGCTGACAAAGCCTGAATTAGAATCCCTTCCCACAAGTAAATGGAGGTCAGAAGGTTGCAAGTCCTAGATACCCCATCATGATGAGCCGTGAGGTCTGGGGAAGCCCATCTCCAACTGCCCCAGGTGTGAATCATGTTGATGACACCCACACAGTTGGGGGGCAAGGTTGGCACTCTTACTGGCCTTCTTTTCATGCCTGTCCTTCCTCAACAGCCAGGAGCCTCCACATCCCTATAGGCAAAGGAACTACTTTCACGGGAGAGTGGAGCATAGTGCCTGGGTCTTATGCCAGCTCTCTCCATTACCATTCAATTCTGGAAGTAGAGATGGACAGGAAAGGGGACTCAGGAGTGCTGACCTGAGTCTGTGCTGTACTTCCTCCCCTCTCCCTAAGATTAAAATTACATCTTCTGGTGGTATTTAGCATAGCTGGGTGAGGGAATTCAATGTTTCAAAGGAAGGATGCCCTGGTCAACCTTGAACCCAGGGTGTAGGGAGGAGAAGGAAAGAAAGAGGGAATGGGAGAGAGAGAAGATACAGATGAGACCAAATATCCAAACCACAGAGTCAACAACACTGAAATCAAGAGCCAAGCTTTAACAACCAAACTGATAAAGGTGCCTGTCAAGAGGGAAGGGTGGGAGAGGGGGGGTATGGAAGAGAACCTAGGAACACTGGGAGGGAAGTTGACAGTGACGGTGGGATTGGTGCTACAATATTGTATGTCTAAAACTCAACCATGAATAACTTTGTAAATTACACACACACCAAAAAACAGTCACATCTTCTGTGCTAGAGCTATAATAAAGCAGAGAGGACATTTGCCTTGTACATAGCTGACCCAGGTTTGATACCTGACAATCAATATGGTTCAATAAGTCCTTCCAGGAGCACAGAGCCAGGAGTAAACCCAAAGCCTAGGCAGGTGTGCCCCCAAAACAAAAACCAAAAAAATCTTACCCTGATTTTTCTTCCTTCCCTCTGAACCTCACAGAGATCCCTGTGGCACCACCGACCACTGTGGTTAGCAGCATGGAGGAGCCTGAAGGTGGGTTTTCTTCTGTTCTGCTCATTTCTTATTTTTCTCTGGGTAGGATTGGAGGTGAGGAATTGGGAGGGAGATTTCAAGGGCCAGATTTCAGAACCAGGTGGCTGCTGTTTTACGTAAGTCCCTGGCTGGATTGAGGAGGATAGAATCACTGGGCGTTTTACCATGATATTCCCTCCAATTAAAAAAAAGGAAGAGTGTTTGGTGATACATGTGGCCACACCCTCTCCCAAGCCTGGGATTCTCAAAGCTGCACTCCTATTCATCCAGGTAAGAAGCTTCCTACCAACCCAGCAACCTTCTAGAAACTGCAGAAAAGGACGGAGATGAGAGGTTGGGAAAGAAAGATGTTTTTGAGCTTAGGGGGTTCACACACAGAATTAAGTGTGATCTCTGAACTGGGATCAGAAAGGGAACCACATCTTCATGTTTGTTCAGCTTACAAACCACAAGCCATCATACTGCAGTGCCAGCACACTGGCATCCTGGCCACCCGCAGAAATCACAGCTCTTTTCACATCACATTACAGTTGGTGCCAATATCATAAAATCCTGCTATGCTCACTGTTGTTTCACAGTACTGTGTTAGAAGGCGTATCTATAACTCCTGATATATAATCATAAAATGTGGTTTTGCCATATATTTCAGTATTATAGTTTTCTTTTGGTTTGTGCATTTCACCTTTACCTTTGAGACTAATGTTGTAAGAAAGGGTTGACAAGCTTCCCTGATTTGGGGAACAGGAAAGGTTACACTGGGCTGGGAGCCTGGGTGAAATGGAGACCATGCAGACTAGACCAGGCCTGTACCTGGAACCCTGGTCCTGAGGATCAACAACTTCTGTGTGATGCACTTTGTGTATGGGTAGAAATGAGAGTAGAAAATAATAACAGTGATGCCCCATATAAAAAAGGTTTTCCCTAGGAAACCCTTTCCTTTCCAGATGGTATAATAGGAAGACATGGGAGAAATTTACAACTTCTGAATATTTTTTTCAATTTTTAAATATTTTATTTTCATAATGTAGTTCACAATAATTCATTGCAGATAATATTCAAACACCAATCCCACCACCGAGCACCTTCCCTCCACAATAAGAGGAAAGTGTGTGAAGGTTGTTGTATGTTGTTGTATTTCATTCCGTAGCCATTTAAACCCATATATAAGAGAATACAAGGAATGATGTTAAAACCAAGCAAATATGTGCTACTTTTGGTATGTAAGTGGGCTAGAATATAAGAGGTCATGCAGCCGTGAATGTGGCCACGTGTTCCAGGGAATTCTATGTCGCTCTCTTCTGGGAGCTTTAGTTTATAGTCTCTGGGTCTTGGTCGTTGATGAGATTACATGGCACCAGGGGCAGTTTGTGTGTGTGACTGCCAAACTATTGGAAAACTGGGGAGCTGGTGGTGGGGAGGTCCAGTCCTGATCTGAATATTCTAATAGGTGTGCTCACCTGAATATTTTATAATAAAAACTATGGATTCTTGGAGTATTGGCTGTGCGCTGGGAAGTTAAGAGAAATCACATTTAAAACTTGGCTAGATATAGTCCTTAAGTAGTTCACGGAGAAGAAAGGACATTTAAGGAGGTACCTGAAGTCACACTGGGGAAAAGCAGTTACAGTCTGGGGTTTTTTTTGGGGGGGGGAGTAGAATCTTCATTGACCCTTGGTTGACTTTTGGGAAAATAATTGTGAGAGTGGTTGAGAGAAGCAGCAGCTCTGGATCCAGACATTTGGAGTGACAGAAACCAACACGGCAGATGAGAGAACTCTCTGTATAGACAGTTGAAAGGCTTAGCTCCCATCAGCTCGGTTCTGAAGAAACCATAACTCTAAGATTTTTGAAGCTCTAAGACATTTCCATCTAGTGGAGTCTTACTTTTGCTTTCTTGATGTGACATCAGTTGTAACAGAGCATACCCAAACACTGGTGGGAGGTGCACACAGATCTTCCAAGTCAAGACTGAAGCTAACCATAGCTCTCACCCCACATTTCTCCAGTCCTTGTAGCTTGACTTTAGGCTATTGGGATAGATTTGTGTTTTTCCCTTCCAAATAAAAAGTGAACATAAAATATAATAAAGTAGATAAATGGAGATAAAATAGGATAAAATAGAAGTTGAATTTCAGTAAGAATTTGTGCAGTCAGTGGTATAAACTCTGTAGCAATCATTATCCAACCAAAGGATTCTCTGAGCAAGTGGTTAGAAACACAGCAGCATCTTTCTTTGGAAAGTTTTCCTTAAAGGTTGTTGCTTAATTAACATTTTGGACCTCGTTTGACTTTGTTACTATTTCCTTTCTTCCTTCTGGGTCTTTGATAATGTGATTTAAATAGAAGCTAGCAATAAATAAAATCCTTAGAAATGCACTTTTATCACAGAAGAAAAGGAGCAGATGAGACCTTGACCAAACCATTTCTGATATTCTCTGATGATCCTTAGATACTCAGGGTCTCTGAAGCTCTGTCTGAAGGTCTTGGTTTTGCCTGGCCTGAGTCCTGAACTTTGGAGTCTGCAATCACAAAGAACCAGGGTTCATCTTGTCTTAGCAGGCTGGGACGTTGTGGGCAGGAGGCCAGGAGGGCTCCCTGGGAAGCAGGGTCCGGGAATTGAATACTTCCAAGCCTGTCAATTCTTGCAGTGTTTGAATAGGGAAGGCCTCTGTGCCAGATTTCCTAAGAAAAGCTTATTTACTTTTGTCTGCATCAGAGAAGAGAATTAATAAGCTGAGAATTTGTCCTGAAAGTTGATGGATGTAACCTCACACTGAACTCGTCCCCTTGAAGGGCCAGTTCACTCAGGAAATGCTCCCCACCTGTTCACTGAGCTGACTGGTACTCCATCATGGAGTGGGACAGGAGGAACATGCATCCCTGGGAGGTGTGGGGGTGGGAGTGCCCAGGAGGGAAATGAAGGGAAGGGGATAAAGACCACCCACACCAAACCCACTTTTTAATGATTACTGGTACATACACCCAGGGCCTACCCTTATCCTCTGTCAATTCCTGGTAGTTATTGATCTGTGTTTGGTTTTGTAGGGGAGACTCAATTCAGTGAGTTGAGTGCTGGTTTGAAGCCACTTTCTCTGGAATTACTGGCTGTGAGGTGTTTGATGGTCAAAGACTTCTCCTTCCTGCATTTCTTAAAGAATGAGGTCAAGGGCCCCTTGGCTCTTCCCTACTTTTCTTCTAGTAGGAATGACACCCTCCTTCTTCTCATTTCACTTCTTTAGAAATGCCTAGTCTCTATTCTTCTGCATCTGATGATCAGCCATATTCCCTGGCAGAGATCCCCATGGACAGGGAATTGAAGATAAATAATGAACATTTGGTTGGTGCAGAAGCACCCCAGGTGAGAGGGAGAAATTTGCATGATTGTCTCAAATCCCATATGAGCAGATCACCCCATCATTACTTGTCACTGTCACTGTCACTGTCCTCCCGTTGTTCATCAATTTACTCGAGCGGGCCCAGTAACGTCTCCATTGTGAGACTTCTTGTTACTGTGTTTGGCATATCGAATACAACACAGGTAGCTTGCCAGGCTTTGCTGTTCGGGCGAGATACTCTCGATAGCTTGCCGGGCTCTCTGAGAGGGGCAGGGGAATTGAACTCGGGTCGGCCATGTTGGCCGCTTGCAAGGTAAACGCCTTCCCGCTGTGCTATCGCTTCAGCCCTGGGAAATACAGTATAGACTCGGAAACAAAGAAATTCAGAGGAAAGAAGGGCTGCCTCTCAAAGGGCAAAAACCGATTGGTTTTCCACTGACATAGTCAAAAAAGGCATTTTCAGTGGCAACCAGGATAGAGAGAAAAGAACAAGGAGTCAACCACTCTTCCCACTTCTTCTCTCATCAGGGTCTTGGGTCCCCTATAAGATGATGCTCTTCCACTAACCCCCATTTTAGGGGTCTAAAGTTAGGCTGCTTGCTCCAGTAAAATCAGTTTGGGAGTGTGACTTGCAAGACACATGATAGCCTTCAGGGTAGCTTAGAATTTCATTGTTTCTAGGCTTCTAAAGCTGACCTATGTGAGGAGTTCTTGCCTTGGGTGTTCAAGGCATGTCTATAGCAGGGAGCTGTGTCAACCTTTAGCACTTCCACTTTTATTATGAGAAAAGATTAAATTTATATAGACCTGAAATCTGTATACACATAAATTTTTCCTAGAATTTTGCTTTCCAAGATTGGGAATGGTGGGAATATAGGAAAAGGAGCTTTTCACACATGAAGATCAGATGTTAAGAGTAGGTCTATGGGTAGGGGGGTCACTTATTTGGAAGCCTGAATCTTGAGTTACACCTCATCTCCTCAGTGAAACAGGCAGGGATCAAGTGGGCTGATTGTGAAGATTAAATGAGTTAGGCTAAAGCTTTAGTGTTAGTGGTGGGCATGTCCTAAGTGCTCCATTGAAAACACAGTGATACAACATGGAATATAGAATTACAATGGTCTCTCTTAGAGTGGTTGAAATTTCTCACCTCATGACAAGAAAGTGGGATTTATAGCAGAAGGCATCGAATCAAGGACAAGTCTGGAGAATCAGTGAGATAGAGACTGGAGGCTTGATAAGACCTTGGGATTGGACAAGGCGGCACTTCCCACAACCAATGCCCCTGACAGAAAAGCTAATGATCTTGCTGTTGCCTTCTCAGAAGCTGATGTTGGACCCTAAACCCAGCAGGGAGATAAAGACTCGAAATCAATTAAAAGTCACATATTAGGCTTCACAATAGCTGAAATGTTGAAACAGCTCAAATGTTGATCTGTGGACAAGTTAAGTTCTTGGTCCATCAATATATTGGAATACTACTCAGCTATTAAAAGTAAAGGCCTGGAGTTTGAATAAATAGTACAGGAGTTTGGGCACCATATACAGTCCTCCAAGCATCACCAGAAGTGACCTGTAAGCACAAAAAAAAGAAAGTATTTGTCTCATGCTACATCTTGGATGAACCTTGAAAAGCATTCTTAAAAAGAATATAAACGCAACAGC